ATACGCGCATAACTTTATGACTGTCTGAAAATCACTTGTTTTACCGAGCATTTCAGGATGTTCATTAGCTGTTGAGCAGTTTCATCACCGATTTAGATTAAGCCCTTTGAGTCAAGCTATGTTTTCTCTTACTAGTTTCCCTTCTTTATTTACGCATTTCTTCTGATTAGAAATGTGCCAATGAGAATTTTTTTTAGTCTAGGACTCGTAAGTTTAACGAAAAAGTCAAAAGATTTTCCAGTAAGGGCCCTCACTTGCCCTAACCTTTCTATAGATTCGTAAATTTATGGCACGGTGCTATTCTTGGCAATGATTGCGAACCATGTGCTTAATTTTCTTGCGCTTTTATATAGCAAAAAGAATGCCGTTACCTTGTTTTAGAAAGTTTGGCTTCATTTCAGGAATCTTTTTTAAAAGCAGTTTTTTCGCTCTACACTGATATGCAAAATGGCACATTTTCGAAGTAATTCACTGTTGAATTTGTACGATCTTTAGGTCCTCATTTGGATTTAGCTTTCTCCGTTTGTAACTCATGCCTGATTCTGTCGCATATACGGGAAATTTTTCCATGTTCCTTGCGAAGGCGGTTCGAAATTCAACTCTGGGGAGCAGAACTCTACAAAAATGGGGAAGATTTGATTCGCTAATAAATTCAGCTACAATTCACTTCACAATGGTATAAAAAATGCGCTGAACAAAACGCTGAATTTTATTAGCGAGGCGTGTGCTTTGATTGGAAAATCGTTTGGTAGAAAACGTAGGAACCTCAAATTATAGGCACCCACGTTAGAACATTATCTGAGCTCTCGATGGATTCCCAAGGAGAGCCTGAAATGGGTTAGTAAATTTTTTTTTTAAAAAGCTCCTCTCAAAAGTCGTTCCTGACGGGGAAAATTGCTCCAGAACGTCTGCTATACGTACTTGCGCGTTGTCTCGGACGAGTTGTCCATGTCATCGCGCGCGCTTTCTGCTGAAGCTTCATATCACATCTAGTGCGAGGAGATGGTAGAACATTATGGTTCCATTTATGGCCAGTTGTTATGGCGCCTCATCCCCATCAGAAATGGCTTCTGGCTGCAGATTTTGAACCCTAACTTTTTACAACCGTTTTTCAGAGTCCACCGAGAGCTCAGAAAATCTTCTGAATAGCTAATGAGTTTAAGCATACTCTCTCCTCAAGTAGTCTGCGGACACACAAAGTCAGGCGGAGCCGGCAATCAATCGACGGCCAGGCACCTTTAGCCGCGGCACTCCAACGCGTCCCAACGTGTCCGACGGGATGTGTGTGAGTGTGTGTCCGCAAACTACTTGAGGGGACAGTAACTGAATATTCAAAAAAACTTTACATCGTGCCAAAGTTTTACAGCGAGTAGAAGATGACTTGAGCTACCATTATCAAGTTTGAAAAATATTTCCTAGGTTATTGAATACTATGACAAGGACGCTGTCGTTGTCCAACTCGGAAAAAAGGCTGATTATGGAAGAGAAGGTACTCGAGCTCAAAATCTGTTCGTTAAACATAAATCTATTTCCTTTACAGCCATGAAGCATCAATTCGAAGAGGCCGACGCAGCTATGGGAAAGGCGAGCACTAAGGTAGGAAGTTCCCCACCCTTTTATTTTTCGCTTTGCATTCATTTTCTCTTATTTTTAGATCACTGAGGAGATTTATCAGATGGCAGGCGACTTCATTATTCTCACTGGTAAATATGAGATGACTACGGAGAAGATGGGAGAATTAAAAGGAGACTTCACGCAATTCTGGAAGAAGACC